AGCCACCGGGGGTCACCATCCCATACGGGACCTCAACAAACCCCCCCCCTCCCTCTCTCGCTCTCCGGGGCGCCCGACTCACCTGAGGTTAACCAGAGCGCCTTCTCCCAGCTCCCTCGGGCTCATCCTGCCGCTCGCCGAGCCTGCTGAGCACGGCTCACTCCGGCTCCTCCTCGACTGCCGGACCTGGAAGAGTTGGAGATTCGAAACGACCTGGGAATCCCACACGCGTTGGGCGGCGCCTTTCGCGGGCAGACGGGCCGTGCCTGGAAGCGCCCCCGACTCCTCGCCGCCTTGCGCGGGCGAGCGTCAAGTTGGGGAGCGCGGCCACCGGGTTGGTGGCCGGGTGGCCCTTCCGCGGCCGGTCGGCAACGGAGGGGCGCCGCTAGGCTGGCGGTTGGCTGCGTTGCCTTGGACCAGCCAGAAGAAGTCTGGGCGCTGTTGGTTCTGCCGAGGTTCCCTCCTCCTCCTCCTCTTCCTCCTCCGCCGGAGGGACCCTTGTTGGGTCCTCGCCTTGTCTCTCGGCTGTTGGCTGCGGCCAGCCGGGACCCCAGCAGCACGCGCCGGGGAGGACAGAAAAGGGGAGCTTCTCCCAAGCCTCCGGCTGGAGCCCAGCTGAAAACGGGCGGCGGAGAGTGACCGAGGTCCGGAAAAGCCCTCCTCTTTTATCTATCCCCGGAGGCTGCCCAAGTTTCCCATCCTCTTGAGCGTCACCTCCCAGTTGCGTGCCGAGTTTGCATTGCGTGATCTCCCGATGGAAAACCCTCTGGCCATTCCCTCCCCTCCCCTTCCCCGCATTAGACGCTCACACACCGTGCGCACGCAAGACCCGACGGGGTGGGGAGGGGAGCCGCGAGTCTTACTGACTGGCCAAAGTGACCCCCCAGCCCACCCCCAAGCCTTCCTAGAAATGATCTTGCTCTCCCTCCCCCCCACCCACCCAGAGACTTCTGGTTTACCAGCTCGAAATAAGTTTCTTCTTTTGGACTGTATCTTCTGTGATCCCCCACAGTCCAGAAGAGTACAGTAACTTCTGCAAACTCTTGAGACTGGCTTCGCAAGATGCATGAGAACTAATTCACACACAGGCCAACACACCAAACTATCCTACCAGGTAAAGGTATCAGGGATTTATGAATATGTGAAGGCTGTCTTCTGATGCCATATCCTTCCTAATCTACTAATCATGATTCTGAGGTGAGGGGGAATAGGGAATGCGAAAATTTGGTTTTGGAGTTCTCTAAATCCCACACTCAGCACTTTCAATATCATCAGGGTCATTGGCTGTGGGATTCTGTGCTTTAACTTGAAAAATAACTTTTTCTATCTCTGGGGGCTGAGGAGAAGTAATCACAGAAATCGTAGCTTGTCATGAATTAACCAAATAAGAGTTCCATTTACCTCACTAGCTGCCTAAAAAGCTGATGGCTTGGAGGACAAGATAGAAGCCAGACTGATCATATATACTACAGGTTTAGGATGAGAAGGAGGTAGAAATCAGTCTAGTCCAGTTGTTTGCTGTTAGACAGAATCCAAAACACCACATGCATATCACATTCTCATTGTTTTTAACCTCCTTAAAGATTAGTTAGTCAGGTACCAAAGGTACAGGAGCCGGAGCAGATGAAGTCTGCCTTGGGTGTGTGAGTCAGCCTATAGCAAAAGGCAAACAATGTATTAGGGATCCATGATTAGCTTTACCTGGGGCAAGCAAGCAAACAAGCAAACTTCTCCTAACTCCAAACATGACCAGTTATATTTTAAGCAGAGCAGAACAACATCAACAACACATTTTTCCATTTAATCAAAAAGCTTATTTTATTGAGATCAAGATTTAAAATGTTCATGCCAATATGGTATAGTGAAGTGTTAGATTTTGGCAGGTGGCAATGAATATGGATCATGGCAGGGTAATTTGAGACGGGGCTTCTTCATGATGGAACTTCCCTAGAGGAATATCTCTTTAGATACATGTAATTGACTCACAACATCAAAAAACTAAGATCATGGCCACTGGCCCCATCACCTCCTGGGAAATAGAAGGGGAAGATATGGAGGCAGTGACAGGTTTTACTTTCTTGGGCTTCATGATCACTGCAGATGGTGACAGCAGCCACGAAATTAAAAGAAGCCTGCTTCTTGAGAGGAAAGCCATGACAAACCTCAAGAGCATCTTAAAAAGCAGAGACATCACCTTGCCGACAAAGGTCTGCATAGTCAAAGCAATGGTTTTTCCAGTAGAGATCTGTGAGAGCTGGACCATAAAGAAGGCTGACCGCCAAAGAATTGATGCTTGTGAATTGTGCTACTGAAGGAGACTCTTGAGAATCCCCTGGACTGCAAGGAGAACAAACCTATCCAGTTTGAAGGAAATCAACCCTGAGTGCTCTGGAAGGACAGATAGTAAAGCTGAGGCTCCAATACTTTGGCCATCTCATGAGAAGAGAAGACTCCCTGGAAAATACCCTGACGTTGGGAAAGAGTGAAGGCAGGAGGAGAAGGGGATGACTGAGACGATTGGACAGTGTCATTGAGCGACCAACATGAATTTGACTCAACTTCGGGAGGCAGTGGAAGACAGGAGGGCCTGGCATGCTCTGGTCCATGGGGTCACGAAGAGTTGGACACAACGTCTAAACAACAACAAATTGAACCCCCCCCCAGCATGCTTAGTTTTAAACAACAAACAAAAACATAGCTGTTCACTCAGGGTGTGGAGTTTTTTAAAAATAGTGTTGGTACTTTACTGCAGAGATTGTGTGTGTGTGTGTGTGTGTGTGTGATGTTTATCTTTTATTTAAGTTGTATAATTTGATGTTTTAATTCATATAAATTATGGATTTTATCATGATCTGTATCAACATGGACTCCAAGATGAGAGGAAGTATGTAAATAAAATAAATCAATAATAATGCAGCTCATTGTCTGGTATAGCTAGAAATTTGGATGTTTTTGGGCAAGTCATCATTTTACCAGGAAATAATTGTGGCAGAGCAGGACCTTAGATGTGGGAAATCATATTATATCATTCAAAGCTTTGGACACTGCTGTGACTTGAGCTCCTTGACATCCCAGTTCATTACATTAGTTGTCTTCTGCTTGAGGAAGTGGTAAAAAGTCACTGTGAACTGACACTGGCTGACTTCTGGAAGCAGAGATAATTGTCCCATACTTAGCCGAGTGTATTAAAAAATGAGGTGTTTTTCCCGTGCCTATTGAATATACCATGGGAAATTCCTGTTAGAATACTGTAGTCCAGGTCAGGCTCTGCTATTAGGCAGAGTGAAGCAACTGTCCAAGGTGGAAGATGTTAGGAGGAGGGAAGCAATAGTATGAGTTGGAGGAACAGAGTTGTTAATTGTGCACCTTTTCCTCTGTGTCCTTGCCCATGTAAGATATTTTGCTTTTCTGTGGTATGGTGCATGGATGGTGAATGCCCATTATGGAATGTGGTACAGAAGGCACAGCAGCCAGCGGTGGGCAGAACGTAGGCCAAGAGGGAGCGTTAGCAGGAGGAGTGGGAAAGGGATCTCTCTCTTCCTGTCTGTTATACACACACACACACACACACACAGTGGGCAGAACGTAGGCCAAGAGGGAGTGTTAGCAGGAGTGGGAAAGGGATCTCTCTCTTCCTGTCTGTTATACACACACACACACACACACACACACACACACATATTCACATGTAGAGGATGCATACAGAGGTTGGCATTCACTAACCCCAATCTTTTTGCAGTATAGTCGAGGAGCAGAAAAGGATATCCTGCCTCCAAATTAGAAGAGTCTCTGCCGGCTGGGCTCACTCTTGTCTCAAGCTCTGCTGTATCTGGTTTGTTTAAAATATTTTTAATCCACCTTTCTCCTCAAATAGACCGAATTAAGTATTGTTCGGCCTCCTGGCTCATATAAGAGGCTCCCATTTGCTTTCTCTCCTTGTCCCCTCCCCCCAGCAACTCACTCCCCATAAAACATGAGGCTGGGAGTTTGGGAGAGGATCATAGATGGGGCTCTGGCCTTCTCTCTCTGGGATGAAGGCAAGCAAGTGCAGGCTGGATAGGTATAGCCTGAACCTGTGGGGTGGGACTGCGGCCTCTTACGCTAATGGGCTTATTTGTAGTGGTTCTGTTGAACAGAGGGAAGGAATAGTGTTCTGGATGCGGAAAAGTTAAACTGCCAGTCCAGTTGGCTTCTCTTTGTGGAATACAGATGGAAGATGGGGAATCTTAACCTTTGGTTCAGGCAGCAACATCTCTTAACTAGTGAATCAGAATGGAACACCACAGATTCATTTTAACAGAGGGTAGAATGTTCCATTTTAAAAGGAACTCATCAGCTGAAACTCAGTAGTGAAGGTTAAGCCATTTAAGCTGAATCATATCATCAGCCACAGCCATATTTTGTTAAATAGAAAGTTTCCTATTCCCTTCTCTCCCCACCCCCATCCTAAGGTTGCTAGGCTCCCTCAGTATTGCTTTGCCTGGAGGAAGCCTTTGGAGACAGGGAGAATCTTAGATTAGGTATCCTTCAGTCTCTAGAGACGATGGTAATGTGCTCTGAATAGAGGACTTGGAACAGCAACTAGTGTGGCTGAAAAGGCCAATTCGAGAGTGACAATCCCTTCCACACTGAAGACAAATACAATCTGTCCCCTGCCCAGCTCCTTGATTTTGGTGGTTTCGGGACTGCCTCTTTGCCTCAGCCTGCTGAAAAAGTGTCTCTTCAAATTGGGAGAGGCCATGATGCACTGCCAAATGTCAAGGTTTCCCATCTGTTGAAATCCATTCCTAAGGCCTTCAGATCCCGCTTGCAGATACTGTATCCTTGGATCGCAGCTGTGGTGTCCTGCTGGGGTGATTTCCCTGCACTAATTCTCCATACAGGAGATCTTTTGGAATCCGATCATTAGCCATTCTCACAACATGCCCAAGCCAACATAGACAAATCTTGTAGATGTAGGGGGAATCTTACATGTCAGAAAAATGCTTTCATCAATGCCAGGGAATAGAAAACTTTTTATTAACAAAATATGCCTGGAGTTGATAATGTCATCAGGTTTATGTAGAGTAACTTTATGTTACTGGTTTTCTGGCTTTATGTTAACTCATTACTTCCCAGCAGCCAGCTTGCTATTATCATTTTTTTTGTTAAGTCAATGTTAATATGTTACACTGCTTATTAGCTTATTCGTATAAGAATATTCCTGCACAGGTGGCGTTAACGAGGGTCCAGCCCCATGGGGCTCAGCAGTCACTCACCAATCCACTGCAGACAGCAAGATTCTACCACTGGCTCCACAGTGCGCGATCAGCTCGCCACTCTTCAACCTCGCCTCCTGCCAGAAGTGGTGAGTGGATTGCATGCTGAGGAGCCATTGGTAAAACTGCGCCGTCCGCATCCACGGCGGATTGGTGAGTGGACCATCCAGCCTCATGAGGCTGGACCCTCGTTAACGCCACCTGTGTGGGGATATTTGTATTCGTATACGAATACTCCCATCTCATTAATGATGTGTTATGTTGTTATTGCCGAACACAAAAGACTCTGACAAAGAATATTTTTCCTTAGGACTGGTGGAAGAATGTTAGAAATGTGAAAATTTCTTGCCAAACTACATATGCCTCAAAATCTCCTTTAAAATTAACTT